TTTAATAAAAAATTAATTAAACATTTAATGAAAAAAATAGAATTTAAATAAAGATAAGAATTAAGATTTATTTTTAAAATAAAAATTGCGTGGCTACAAAGGAAGCAAAGGAATAGAAAATAGCTGCTTAAATACTTTTAATGATTTTTTAATGATTTGTAATGCCGAAAAAAGCACTCAAAGCGAAAAATCAACAATAAAATAAAGCGACAAAATAAATTGCTATGAAAATAAAAATAAAATTGAAACTCAAACGTCAGAAGTTAGTGCCCAAAAGCGAGGAAAAGTGGCACGGGAGGAAGCTTACTTTTTCGGCTGCTCAACAAACGAAGCAAGCGAGCTTGAAAACAAGGAAGCATTTGAAATACTAAATAGTTTTAGCAGCCATTCAGTGCCACAATTTTTTCGCTGCAATCACTGCTTGACGCTGAACTTATTTTGCTGTCAAACGGAAACGGAAATGGAAATGGTTCTGGTCAAAGCGAAAGCACAATAAACAGCAACAGCAATTGCATTAAAAATAAGTATATTGAAGCATTGTAAAAACCAACTGCGCACATTGCCAAAATAAATAAAAGACAATAAATTTAAATGCTTTATAAGTACGTAACATATATTTATATAATATACAGAAAGCATTTGTTACAAATTCTTTACAGGTAGAAGGTGTAATATATATATATATATTTTTTTTTTTTTGGAAAAAATCTTAAAAATTCTCCATAGTTATATATTGTTGAACACAGGAATAAACATAAATACTATGTGGAAAAAAGAGTAACACACTAAAAATAAATTCATAAATACTGAGTTAAAAATGAAAAAAATTAATAACAGACGCTTGTGTCTTTTGGTAGTTCCTGGAATCCTTTTGAATAGTACTTTTCATCTCCAGTTGATGCAGTTTTCATCTGAACATCATCTTCATTTGTAGCAAATTTTCATCTTGACTTAAACTGCCCTGCTGATACACGTCATTCTTGTTCTCAATGACTCTTCCTTGGCAACTAGATTGTTCATATATGGAAAACGCAAGATTGAACTTCGTTATTGGAAAAACTTGGTCTAAGTAAATAACTATGAAGGCATCTCAATCTTTTGCGGATACTGTTACTAGCAAGTAAGCGGTATTCTCGGCTTGCATATCTTCGATTCGGCGGCTCATTGTAAAGGCAGTCCGGCATCTGATTCGGAAAAAATCAAACAAATTAATTTAAATTATTAAATCTAGAATAAATATATAAAAGTTAATATTGTAATAACAAATTGCGAATATCAGAGAGTTCAATGTTTAAATTAAATGAAAATTAAATTTTTGTTAAAATAATGAATATATATTAAAGGCCTGAATATGTATTTAAGACAATGGGATTAAATTAATTAAATCATAATTATTGTCTTCATTAATATAAGGTTAAATATATATGAATGTGTATCTCTATATATATATACATACGTACATAAATATATATAATCTGAACTTAAATTGCTCCAATAAAGAAATACTCGTATATTGGTTGCCAAAAAAGTCTTGCGGTATTTTCGCTAGTTGTCGCTGAGAGCGCGTAGTTCTAGTTTTATTCGTCGCATCGGGTCATGCTATACCTTTTTGGAAAGCTCCTTGCACGAGCTAACACGTGTTTGATTGATTGTCGTTTCCTTTAAGTCGTTCCTGAGTTATAGCGTCGCAATCATGGAGCAAAATAAAGAGAAAATACGGCATATTTTACAGCACTACTACGATAAAGGCAAAAATGCATCTCAAGCCGCCAATAAAATTTGTGCAGTTTGTGGACCCGATACAGTTTCCATTTTCACCGCAAAACGATGGTTTCAACGTTTTCGTTCTGGTGTAGAGATGGTCGAAGATGCGCCACGCTCCGGAAGGCCTGTAGGAGAAAACTGCGATAAAATCGCTGAATTGGTCAAAAGAGACCGGCATAGTAGCAGCCGTAGCATCGGTCAAAAGCTGGGCATGAGTCATCAAAAAATATTTTATGAACAATTGAAACTTCAATAAAAATACGGCCAAAAATACCGCAAGACTTCTTTGACAACCTAATATATGGCATACTTCTCGTTGCCTCATGGTCAAAGACGAAATATAGATCTTAATGTCTACGAACTTTCAAAAAAAACGTCTTCTTGATATTATGAAAAGGCTACTACACAGACACGAACCGTCCATCAACGGATCTGGAGAAATTTCCCTTAAACAACATAGTTTGAGACCCGGCAAGTCAACTTTAAGAGCTATTAGATGCGTCATTGGAAGTAAATAGGCCGCACAGGGTAGATGCCATAAATACACAAATACGTTCGAAGCGCTTTCAAAATCGCTAGACCTGAATGACGCACTAGAGAGAAGCTTTAGAATAAAAATAGCATGTAACTATCTTAGCAATAAAAACAAAAAAAAACTGCTATACCAAACTAGAGAGGGACCACACAAAAAATGTTTATGTCAGGAGCGGTGCAAAGATCCATTTTATGATCAGACCTATGGAACATCAGCTACGACCCTATACCACAAGACAAATCGTACTTAACTGGGTACGCGGCCGGCACTGCAGCAGTAATTAAAGCCCGATGAAGAAAAAATCGCAGGTATGGCTTGACTCTCGCAACCTTCAGGTCGTTACGGAAAAAATGTGATATTACTACTATCACATAAGCACATATCTCTCGAAAAAAAAGTGTGCAAACGACTACAGATATTCCAAGGTAAACTACCCGGGCGTAAGCCTGAAGCCCAAATTAACTTTCTAGAATTTTATAAAGACAAGGAAGATTATTAAAAAAAAAACGGTTGAAACTTTGGTAATTTTTGGGCTGCCGACGATTTTTGATCAAATCAGAAAAGCATTCATGATGATGAGATCATTTGTTTTTGAATAATCATTCAAGTAATTTTGAGAAAAACGAGTTTTGAAGATAACGCGCTTAAACTGGTCGCTCTTATAAAGTGCAAAGGGTGCGTTTTAACGTCACTTACACTATTACATCATTGTGCACTGATTTTATGAAAATGTTCAACTAAAAATCCTCTCTCTCTTCTAAGTTAAACTTTTTCATGAAAATATTTCCATTTTGCAATGTGACAAGCTCCCGTTATTCCAGACTTTTAATAAACATTTTATTTACTGATGAAAATATTTTTGAACAAATGCCGTTAATCAAGCGTCAGCATGTTTCAGTTGCCCTTCCATACTTCCATAGTCCACGCTCACAGCAGGGAGAAACTGAAAGTTTAAAAAATTTTGAAATTTCATTTTTTGTTATTGTAAGGCATTTTTACACACACACACACAGTTGCACGGATGCGTTGTCGGACATTTTTCCCTGTTTTTTCAACATTTTGCCACAGCGCATGCAAGTGTACACATGCGAGTGTGTTAGAATACCAGCGTGTGTGCGAATGCGACAGTATGTGTGAATGTGTGAGCGTGTGCATCTTTGCGCTCGCTTCCGGCAAGCACACTAAATGAATCTCTTTAGCTTTTTAGAGCTTGCTCTTACTGCTGAACAAGCCATTTCATTTTTTTTTCTAATTTTTTTTTTTTTTTTTTGTCGTTTTGAATTGCTTGCAGTGTTTGCTAGTAGCTGCTGTTGTTGCTGCTACTTCATACACTCGCTTCCCCGCTCACATGACAGTGTTGTTTGCTTGTTTGAAGTTTGCCGTTTGCTATTAGTTGCATGTCAGCAACGCAATGGCAAGCACAAAAATATATTATGAGAACAATTACCACTGGTGGTGCCTGAGTTAGAAAATGATGTACGAAAGCCTCCACTATAGAGATATAATGATGTAAAAAAGTAAAGAGTAGAAAATAAAAGGGTTCTTGAGATATCGATTAGATATTTTGTACGAGTGTTTGAATTAGGCCCCACTGAATTAGCCTCCACCGGGCAAAATGACTTAAGCCCCACCAATTTTCCAACAAAATTAAAAATGGCGGAAAGTGGAGCTAAAGTCATTTTCGTGGAGTTTAATTCTTTTTTTTTTTTTTTAGTGGGGATCCTGTCATGTAAGAACCCCCACCAAACGTAGGGTATCGTAAGTGATACTTCAAATCGGAGTATGCATATTTCTCTAGCGATAAATCCAAGTAATTCCACGATTTGAAGGGTGATCCATAAAGTTTTTTCATCCAAAATCGATCTAATTGAAATAACAAAAATCAAAAAAGAGAGAGAATTAATCCAAGCAGAACCTTTCTGAACAGATCAATTGCAATCGGAAACGATGGAAACGATACAAATAATTACCAGAAAGGCGAATATGCCAAGAGATCCTCATTAAGGGGGTATTCTCATTTTTTCATTCATTTTTTAAACTAAGATACAAAAAAAAAATGAAAAACATTTTCACCATCCATTTTTGTTTTATATGTTTTTTAATGACATTTTAATAATATAAAAAAAATTGCAAGAAAACAGAAAAATTCGTCGAGATATTGGTCGGTGGAATGGGGGCTTCAAAAAAACGGTGCAAGAAGATTCTTTATTAGTAAAAAAAGTAAAATAAATAAATAAATAAATATCAAAATGGCGTCGACTAGAAAAAAAAATTTTTTTGAGACCCGATTTTTGCGACCTTTTCGAATTTTTTAAAAATACTTCAAATCGAAATTTTTGGAAATCCAAGATAGACACGATGGAGCAATGTATAAAGACGATAATACCAAATTTCAAAGGAATCGGTTCAGTAGAACTTGAGAACTCATGTCAACCACCTCAAAAAAGTAGTTTCGAGAAAAACGCGTTTAAAGTTTAGGAGACAATTCTAGTAAACACAGACGCCACGTCACAAAATTGGCTTTATGTCCGAAAATAAGTCGAATTTTGAAAAATCCTTCCAACGTCATATTTTTGAAAGCCTAAACTTTCAAAATATGCAAAAAATATTGACTTATTAAAAATCCTAGACCAGAATACCTCCTTAAGGCATTTCGTTTGCATTGCACTAAGGACTGTTATTTACTTAAGAAACGTCAACGAAACTATACAGTTTTGAAGCGCATTGATACTGAATGAACGAGCTCAAACAACTTCGAAGGCCAAAAGTCAGCAAAAACGTGGTATGTTATCAGTTTGGTGGAATTTCAAAGAGATCGTTTATCTTGAGCTTTTGCCCAACAATACCACGATTAATTTTAAAGTGTATTGTGATCAGCTGGATAAATTGAGTAATGCACTTAAACCGAAGAGGTCAGAATTGATTAATAGAAAAGGTGCTTTGTACCACCAGGATATTGTGAGATCTCATACAAGTTTGATGACTCACCAAAAGCTTCTGTAGCTTGAATGGGACATAGTACTATACCCACCATATCTCCAGAATCAATCTCTTAGCCGAAGTATGACAAAAGCCATAGCCTTAACACGTTTTACACGGTTATGACTTGTTATTTCAGAAAAGTATTAAGGAAGCAAATTTAATATTTTTTGGTGTCAGAAATTGAAGAAATCTGCTCGAACGATATGCACCACGAACAGAATGGTGTATCAAGGGACATTAGCTCTTTCCCAACTTGCAAGTTCGATCTTGGCGTTAATAGTTAATGGTGATGAACATTGCTATCTCGGAGCTGCAGTTTATGAAGGCAAAAGTTTTTAGACGAACTGCCTAGACAAGATTTCGGGCTTTGAACAGAATTTCAGGAAACCTATTTCTAGGTCATATATAGAAAACGTTGCGAAATTGAATTAATAGAATGTTCTGATACTAGAATACCTACTAATCAACTAAATATAAGGCATGTTTTCAAAAATATATTTATTTACTTTGGATGGCTTTTGGTAGTCTGTGCCTCGCATTGTACAAATGCGACAGGGTTTCGCTGCATGGCATTAGAAATATTTAGGAATTTCAATAATACCTCAGAATACCTCGCAATTTAGTGTAAAAAATCCCAAGCGAATGCTTTCTGATAATGAAAGGTAAGTCACCTACAGCAAAGAAACGAATACAGTCGCGGTCGAATGGTGAGAAAACAAGCAAGCATTGGCTACGCATGAATTGACTATTTGGAAGGTTTCGGGATTTGTTTCAGTAGGTTTTGTAGGGCATTGTCTGCTATGAACTACTCTTCGAACTGTTTCATAAAAGTAATCGTCCAGAATCGGCCACCTTTGGCCAATAAGAGAGGCCATCTACATGGATAGAGTGTTGCCAGAAGCCCGCAAGCTGTGTTGAAAGGTTTTTATGAAACTGCCTTATATTCTGGAACTGGCGCCAAGCTCTGTTTCTGTATTTGAGATGTATTCTTTTGCTGCTAGTTAAAGTTAAGTCTCAAGAGAAACACTTAGAAATCGACTATCCGAGTTTTTTGCCAACAAGAAGAGAAGTCTCTATAAGATTGACATTAGATAGATAGATAGATATATAAATAATTGAGGAATGAACCGCGACCTTAGGTCTATTGTGCCCTCTCCGAACTCACAGGGGCTCACTTAGCCCGAGCGTATTGATGAAGTCCAATATCCTACCGGGTGCTAGTGAGGCAATATGGTACGTATATGGAAACATGGATCCAAGGGCCTTAGACCTGCGTCTGCAGACTGCAATGCAGTCGATTAGCAGATGCTCCGGGATTTCAGGCTCCCTGTCACAAAACCGGCAGTTAGCACAAGAGGTTAGGCCTATGTTGAATAAATGACTTTTCAACTTACAGTGGCCGGTGTAGAATGCGACCAGAAGCCTGAGTTTATCTCTTGGGAGGTTAATTATCGATATAAACCTGTTATGGTTGTACCCCCCAATTACCAACTTGGCTTGTTGCATACCATGCGCTCGTTGCCAATGCCTTTCCCTACACTCTCTTTCTTCCTTGCGGAGCAGCTCCTTCACAGTATGGGGACCCACCCCAGTGAATGGTTCGGGCCCTACCATATTGGTGGAGGCTGCGGAGCGGGCGAGCACGTCAGCCAGTTCGTTGCCGGCTATGCCTCTATGACCAGACACCCAGATTAGGTGCACCTGGTTCTTTTCAGCTAGGCTGTTCTCTACACTCCTGCATTAGTAGCGATTTGATCTCATAAGAGAAGATCACTTTTTAGTGCCGCTTGACTATCGCTAAGAATAGTTATTCGCTTGTTGCGATAGTTGCGGTGGACTTCCCAGTAGTATTGAGAGCTTGGTACGTGGACCTGCGCTCCCTGCACCAATTCCTTCCGACGTTTTCGAGCCGTCAATGTACCACTTCAATGTGGTAGCATTAGCTCTAGAGTGGAGTCGTTCCGAGGTTAACCTTAAACTTCTTCGGGAAGTTAATTGTTTTGGTAATACTTCCTTCCTGTCCTTCGGGAGGAGGGCAATTGGAATATTGCCAAGGGACGAGATTACCTTGCCTTTGCCACATCCCTCCGCTGTAATTTGCAGAAGTGAGTGCTTGGCTACTTGACCGATCACTATATGAAGCGGTGTGAGTTCCAGCAGGACCTCCAGAGCTGCCGTTGGGCAGGTACGCATAGCGCCCGTCATACAGACACCAGCCAGCCAGCCGCTGAAGCTTCGATAGTTGGGTTCTCACCGAAACTACCGACGATGTAGAGACCCAAGACACCGCCACATATGTGATTATCGGTCGCACAATCATGACATGACGCTTGCAGCCCCAGGATTTTCCCGCCAGCCGATTGCACACCATTAGTGCCTTTACTACGGTCTGGTTCACATGCTGCAAGGTTGACATTAAATTACCTTCATAATGGAAATAAGTTACCGAACAAAATGATGAATAATTTGATAATTGTAACTATTCTAAATAAAACCTTCAATATAATACAAAGTCAATGGTTTTATTTTTATAAAACTGATTTGCTATTAAATAGGGACTAGATTTTTCAAAACTTTAAAAGTGTGCTAAACAAATTTTAGCTTCTTCAATTTCTAATGCAAACATGCAGGAACCTCACAAATCACACAAGTTGGTAAATACGAGTTTAAAAACGCATGCACAAACACTTTGCTGTATTCAGTAAGTAGAGAAGTGCGAAAAACAAATTCAAATAATTTTCTACTGTTCCACAGTGATTTCTACAACTCAACGCGCTGCGCGGTCCCCACTTCTAACCAAAAAACGAAGTAGAAATCTGTTGGGCAAGTTCGTTATCACTAACGTTTATATTTTATTATATATTTCCGCATATTTGTATATATGTATGTACTTATACAAAAGTACGAAAGCAAGTTCACACCAAAGCACGAAACGCACACACACATATATATATATATTAACGCACACATACACGTTTCACTCTATTTTGCAGCGTTCACCTACTTTTCGCAGTTTGTTTAGCACTCAAAATGCTATGTACTGGAAATTCAGCAGCGTTAACACACACACACATAAACGTAGATGTTAAATGGTGCAATGGTGCTTGTGTGTGTGTGTGTGAAACGGCAGGTGGGACAGTGGCATGAAACACGAAAATGCATTTTGTTAAATGTATTTTTTCTGTTCAGATAAGGAATCACAGAACATGAAAGTAAATGTTTATGAAGTCTAAAAATACTCACCGACATTCCGCGTTGTTGCTGCCACCTCTCACCGCTGTTATATTAATGCATGGCATGCCTTTGTGTGCCACAAACACGATAGTAAGCGATTTGGCAGTAGTTTTATGTGTGCAGCACCGCCAGCGCCAAGTGCTTTCTTCCCGTATGACTTTTATTTTCGCTCGTTCGTTGTGCAGATGTGTGAGTGTATGTGTGTGTGTATGCATTTATGCAACGCTTGACCCACTTGCGCCAGCCAGACAGCCAAGAAAGTGGCGAAGAAATTCAAAGGACCCGCTGAGCTGAAGGAATACTTGAATCGCTGCGAACGGTGTTTAAAGCGGAAAAGCACACAAATTTCACTATCGCAAGTCGCAAAACATGTAATTTGTTGGCGTTGATTATAAGCGAGTGCTGAAAAATTATAAAGGTACAAAAAATTAACTAATAACTATGTAAAGTACTTGACTTTCGCTAACATGAAATTAACAAGTACATTACATTGAGTTAATTTATTCGAGAAAATGAGCGCGATGACAGGAAGTTAATGCTTTAGAATAAGTAGAACACATTTCGAAGTTATGCACATGCAGTTTTTACCTAAATTTAAAAAAAGTAAGAAACCTAAATTTTTAGAAAGTGCCCAAAAAACGGTTTGGGTTTCCACCCCCTCACCTGAAAAAAATCAGGAACATACAAGATTGTACAACAGCAAATATGGTGAGACGAATTATTTTAGGAAAAGGGTTTGGGATATCAATGAAATTCTTTATTAGTGTGGTGCAATCGATGCCATTATGAATGGAACTCGATTTATTGTGCATGACCCCCGCGAGCATGCTTGCTGAACCCAATTTCCGGCCGTTTTCAGACATAGCTCAGCCGATACTGCTGCAATTTCACGTTCGATTTTCGTACGAAGTTCAACAATCGTCGCTGGTTTGTTGACTTGACGTAGCCCCACTAACGACGTCAAATCGCATGATCTAGGAGGCCAATTGACTGAGCCATTTCGTGAGATAACAGGTTCATCAAACTTGGTTTTCAATGAATCGATTGTGACAGTCGCTATGTGGCTTGTGACGTCGTCCTGTTGGAACCATACATTGTCCAAGTTCATATCATCAAATTGGGCCCAAAAATATTCGGTTATCAGGGGGGGGGGTAACGATTCCCATTTTCAGTAAGTTGCTGTTCTTGATCATCACGGAAGAAGTACGCCCCAATAATTCCGAAGGCCATGGAGTACGTGTGGATTGCTGCCTGACCAATAACTCATATTTTGCCATTTAGCCAGAAATGAGTACCGTCACTGAAGATGATTTTTTGATGAAAATCCGGATCATTTTCAATTCACGAACATAAAATGGCATCCATTGGCTTCAGTTTTTTTTTTTTGTTTTTTGTTTTTTTTTTTTTTTTTGTTGTCAATTTTATTTTGTAAGAATATATGTACTTATAACAAGGTCTTTTCGCCAAATTAGCCACAACTACGTCAGAAATATGCCCACGATTGAGAAGGACGTGTGTGAGACTAATTTGGATCTTCCTCAATTGATGCGCAAGCGGCAGCAATATTCTCGATATTATGGGCACTTCTTTGTCTCACTGGCACGGGAACATTTTGTACTCTGCATGTGGATTCAAATTTTGTCACTAGAAGCTCAATTGGACTTAGAGCCCCTAAAGTTGAGGCTACTGACTAAAAATTTCTGTAGTAAATTTTAATAATTTCAACTCGTTGTTGGCTCATATATTTTTCTATAATGTAATGGCAAACCTCACTGAAGAGAAACGTGAAAAGAACGGGAAAAATATGACGTCATTCGGTCTACTTTCATAGCGTCCCTCTTTAAAGCTTCGACATATTTATCCAGTATTTTACAGTATTTTAAGTTGTTAGGGGATTTGTGACACTCATAAGAAAAAGGCGGTGAACCTAAAAAGTGAGTGCTCCTCTGGCCGTCTATTTGCATTCAAACTAGTGCCTCAGTTTTTGAGATATCACTCTCAAATTTTGCACACCTTTTTTCTCCCCAAAAACTCGCTCATTTCTTCGCTATCCTACCTGCTATAACTGCCACATACATTGATCGATCAAAACTAATACAACGATTCTTTTATACCCTTTTACGCTTAAAAAATACACTTATGAAGGCTATTATTAACGAAATTAACTTTAGTTTAACTTCAGTTTATCTTATTCGTTTTAGAATAATCAAACACAAGGGGTAATCAACGAACGAAAGCGACAACGAGCTTATCTCGAACTCAAAACCTCAAAGACGCCAAGTCTTCCATGCAGATTATTTAGTAACCGAACCGAGGAGACAAGAAGCGATACTGTGAAAAGAACGAGGAGAAAAACCATTGCAGAGATTGGCTTTCGAAGGTTATACATTGATAACTAAAAACAAGAATGATGCTTCAATGGAATATAAGAAGGAGTAAGAGTATCGGCCGATCAAAGTTTAATGGAAAAGCTATGAAATTTTCTTTGAGACTAGTATGATATACTAGTACGACACTTCAAAAAAATCGATTTTTCATATTTATATTTTATTTTCAAAAACATCCTGAGAAATCGGCAAAGTCGTATCCTGAATACTTTGACGCATTGCTTCGAAACGAGATTTTTCAAAATTCGTGACATCATAACTCAAAGAGAAATGGATCGATGGATCAAATTGAAACTGAGTATTCTTGAATATATTTACTATACAATGATTTACGATCTATTTGATTGGTTGAAAATTATAAATTTGGCATTAAAAAACCGATCATTATATACTTAAAAACAAAAGCGAACATTTTTTCAGAACTACGCCATTTTGTTAATTTTTAATATTTTTCAAAAATTGTAAGTCATTGGGTAGAAAATACCTTCAACTTTAATAAACCTTTTGAACTTTATTATTTCAACAACTCATTCGGCCAGAATCGTGTCAGCATTTGGATAACTTTTTTTTTTTTTGCACCTCCGAAGAGCACTATTTTTCAATATTTTTGTGATAAAAATCTTAAAGTATAGTCCAAAGAACTTCGACAAATTCGATCGAATACTTTCTTTTAAAACAATGCACGAAAATAATTATTCATGGGTCATGCTGGGTTACCCTTAAGAGAAATAAAAAGAAAAAATATGTAAGATAGGACTAAGTTTTCTGCAAGCGTACACTTCCTATATACTATTAACAACGAAATATTTTCAGATATCTGCAAAAACTGTCAATGAAAAGTTGTACATGTGTTCGTTACGAGCATTTAGACGAAAATGCGCATCGCTTAGATTTAAGCAAGGTTAAGAAATATTCTTAGGAATATTTTCAGGTTAAGTTATTTCATAAATTAGGTTAAAGAATGGTTTTGAACGATTTCGTGTACTTTGGCATTTAACTTGAGGAGATGTTTTCACCCAATTTTATTAAGATAAATCACACATTGTTCGATATAAAGTGTAGTGCTGGACATATTTTCATAGAGGACTTTCAGTTTCTGGAATATATACGGTATACCTAAAGTCAATCGAAGTTTCGAAAATGATTATATTTAGTATATTTTATTGGAGTAATGAAAGGATCTCACTAATTTTCGACAGCAAAATACAGTATATCCCAGATTTGTAGAGTTATCTTACATGTTGACTAGGAATTATATATGGTAAAAAGTCAACAAGATGTTGACTCAAAAACCCTAATTATAATTTGAAATTAATAAAGTTTTCAAACGAAATTGTTAGATGTCAAGATAAAAAAATTTGAATCAGGATTATCTTATAAAGAAAAGCTTTCACTAAGTTCGGTCTGATATAATTTTTTTTGTTTTTTAATTGTATTGATGTCTTTCCTTATTGTGATATTTTAATTTGTAACGAGTATATCACATATTCTCTTTCAATTAAACGCATTTTTAGAGCTCAAGTAAGCAAGCGAAGGTTGGTATATTTCCCAATTCATCGCCCAATGGTGGACTGCTACATATGCAACCCGAGAAGGAGGTGAATGGAATAATAGAACAGTCATTGCTAATGAGATACTTGACCGTACATAGTCATAAAACGCTAGTGATATAGACTCCACATTCAAATTCGGAATGTAGACCCACGGTGTCGGTGAGAGACGAGGCTTCTACCCCATATCGAGCGCAGGTTGCGGTGATACAGTACTATTGAAAAGTCAGCACTACAGCGCCAAAGTCTCAGACCAAGAACAAGAGCTCATACGCTCTCCTGTGCAGCTAACCGAGGGTTCTAGCAACAAGAGATCTCCTCGGACGAAGCTAAGCAAGGTGATAATGAACACAAAAGTGCGATATAAGGTGGCGATCGAGATATTTGCCGATCGAGAACAAGTTCCACCTAATGGAAGAGAAAGCAAACCGGATAGAGTGGGCCAAAGAGGAGGTGAAAATCTCAGACCCAGAATTTGCGAACCGCATAAAGGAACACATCGCTGAAAAGAAACAGCGTTCGACAGAAAGCGAACCGGCACCGTAGAAAAAATACATTTTCATAACAATTGCATAAAGAAAAGAAGAAGAAATAAATTGCATTTACTACTAATTGTGTTATTCAAATACTATAACAATGATTCCTAATAATTTGCATTGCAACTGAGAATAATGTAATAAAATTACGTAAAATCAAAGGAAAGAATACAATACAAATTTTAATTGCATTCCCTTCTAAAATGCATGTAATCCGAGTATTTACATTAGTATGTAGAGCTACCCGCATTTCCTTGGCATCACTTACAATCACTTCTAGTCAGGAATGGTAATTAACAACAAACACTTATGCAAATGCATATATATTATGTGAAGCTTCAACGTTTAACTCGCTGCACACAAACAAACATACACATACATACATATACCTTAAATAACTATTTGCTTGCGATTATTATTTTCTTTGGTTGCTGCCAGCGCCAATGTTACAACTTTTGTAATTAACACTTTTCCACAATTTAATTGTTTTAATAGCTTTTGCACGTTTAATTTCGAATTTGCATGCTTTGCAGCAATTCGAGCAGAAATTTACGCATTGCACTACATGCAAATACTCGTGCCGGAGAGGGACTAGCGTCGGAGCGGTAGAATCGCAGCTGTAATTAGTGTGTTGGCTTACAAGTTTTGAGGTGAACTTCTGTTTAAAAAATGTGTGTTGGTATTGGGGAAAAGAGGAGATTTAGTCGGTTTTATGTATAAGAGTAGTTTCCTGTTTTAAGTCCTGACGAGCGAGCGATCAAATGTTTAGCAAGGCTTGCAATGGTATGACTGGAAGGGGATTTAGGTTCACGAGCGAAGCTATTGCATTGAAATTTGGTTGAAAATCATAAGATTAACTCATTAGAACCGCTATTCATAGAAGTTTTGAACTTAGTTTGTGGAAATATTCAGTGCTTAAAGAGTTAGGC